GAGGAAACTCTTTTTCTGGGATGTGGTGCGATTCACGCGTCAATATAATGAGGTCATCGGACAAAGCACGCTAAAACATCATGCCTACCATCATAATGGAAGAAATAAGAACTTGTCAGTAAAATAAGTAGAGAAAATGACCAACTATGCACGTTTACAGAAGGATTGCGTTTACCAGGACCGAAAAATTTGAAGGTATTCTTATTTTAAACGTTTGACAAGTAAATTGTTGACTTATGAAGTGAATTCTTAATCTCGATGGGGCTTCAGTGCCATAGTAAAGAGATTTGCTCTAATTCATGGTGAAGCCGTGGACTACTGCAAATTTATTTGGTCCATCTCAACAGAAAGGTGCTGAAACGATGCTGCGTGCTCGAAGAGCTCTAATGGGGTCACGCGTGGATCGCCCCCTCCCCCCTTTTTCTGGCAACGTACGAAATTGAGAACTTGCAGAAAAAAATACGTTCCTCTGGATGAGGAGGAAATGCTCACGAAAGTTACACGGAACAGTTCCATGATGTATCTTCAAAAGTAGACAAACAATAGCGCTGAGCAGAGATGATTTCTCTTCCAAGTGTATGAAGAAAGCAATGGAAGCCTCGGAGCGGTATCATTCCAAAAGTAGAAAGACTTAATGTGTTCCTAGAAATTAAAACACGCTAGCATAGAGTCATGTTGGATAGCAGCTGAAATGTGTACGAGGTAGTACATGTCACTTGAAGGGGGAAGGCCATACGTATGGACGGCTGACGAGTGCTGGAACTGATCGAAGCGCACTGCTTGTTAGGCCCTTTCTAGCGATAACCTCGTTGATGGCCCTTCACATGGAGTAATCGACGCGACACGAGCTGGAGATTTCTTGGGGACATAACAGCATGCCAGACATTCATGAAACAACTTATCCTTCTTCATAGATCGCATTCATGAATTTTTCAAGTCTAAAGATTCTAATTGAAGGTGTTAGGATTACCCATCGATGATTCAAGAAAATATTGCGCGACTATGAATTATTTCAATTTTGTAAACTGCAGCAGCACGTGCACATTTTTCAAATACATTCCATTAATACATCAGAAAGCATATTCAGAAATTCCCTTTATGAAAAAACTCAAGGCAAAGCTCTCAACGTGGTAAGAATCGGTCGTTCTATAACATTTTATATGAGTCATTGACGAAAAAAGACGTTTTGCCATGCTGTTGATGTCCCTCTGTTGTGACTTTGACAACTTGCTTCTTGGGCTGCATTTCTACTAGTTCCGATAAAGAAGCGAACTGTGTAGGAGAAAGCGGCAGGGTTAAAAGGAGTTGGTTGAGCATAAATCTGATATCATTGTAAGATTATGGTAAGTTATACAGAAAAAACTGAATTATCCCTGAAACCAACACTTTTTCCGTAATTTCATATTTACGCTCTCATCCTTATGTACTTATGCTACATAAAACAACCCAGTTCAATGAGCTATACAGACCATAAGTTTCCTGCTTTTTCCAATGACACAGTGTCCAAAACAAAGTTGCACATCAATCTGTCCATCGAACAGATTTATAAAAACTTTTGGCGTGCATACATGGTTTGTGGGANACTTGTCTTTCAAATTAGCCATATGGCCCAAGTGGCAAAGACAGTATAATCATGTTTTATATGAAGGTATGAGCCTAGGTTCAACATAATCAGGTAAATGTACTTTTACCTGATTGTGTTGGGCTCATACATGCAACAGTCTTCATTAAAACAAATCACTTCGCAGTAATGAGGGAGTCTGTTCAAGTGAAATTCAGAGCTACGGATATAGCACATTGGAATTTCGCCCTGTACAGTGCTAGTAATAAAGTCTGAATTGTTTTTACTGCATATATTTCTGTGCGTAAACTAGTGCACCATTCTTTCAACGAGAGCTGGCGGCAGTTCAAGGCAGCTTTTAAGTGATTGCCGGAATAGCCCATAGAATTCTGTGCCTTCTGCAGAGGCTATTTCAAAAGACGATTTGCATTCAAAAAGAGCTTTTTCTGTCCCCTAATGAAAGTACCATGAAAAAAGGTGTTCCCAGAAAAGTACCCGTGTTTTGATTTCTCAAAAACTGATGTAGTGTAGAGGTAAAGAAATTCATTGGCATTTTCTGAAGACAGTTTTTTTTTTGAATTATAAACAATTATCCAGGTGATGCAATAGAACTTTTGCGTAGTATATTTGTGTGACCCTCAGAAACACTTGCAACATCAGCTTCTACACGAACACTGCCTTTTCATATGTCATACCCATGCTTTTGAAATGATTTAAAGCTCTAAAAGTCAGGAGTCAGAGGTTCTGCATTGCAGGCGAGAGCAACTGAAGAGCCTGGGAGCTTATCCGAATAGTGGTATTTATCTGTATTCATGTCTGCTTTTTCATTTAGAATACGCTACTCCAGCTTTATGATCTGTGTTATGACCCAGCTGTTGTTGTGCCTTCCTGAACAACGCTTCATCTAGTGACCGGACTTGTCGATTTCGGAGTAGTGCTCATGGCTAAGTATGTCGATTATTTCCTAATGCCCTACCTTTGGTGCAGTGCATGGCACACGGCTGTTGGAGTATGCTCCTGTGCTACGGAGTAACTGTATCAGTATTGGCCTGGAGCATTGCAAGGATTATGTCTAACTGCTTGGAATTCATAATTTCCTTCTTTACGCTGGCCTTCCTCATGAGCAGCTTCTAGCTGAAAAATTAACATGCAGTCACCACTAAAATGGGTCACATGAAGCAGGGTTACTTGGAAAATTTTGTTATGGCTTGACGAGTGTGTTGTGTTTGACCGGAAATTCATAACTCGTGTTCCCGTGGACCTAGGAAGCTCAAATTTGGTAGCAGTACAGAGGGCAGCATGGAAACATTTATGGCAGGTAGCAAGA